GGAAGTTCACTGACCAAGCACAGGATCAAGCACAGGAAGTTCACTGACCAAGCACAGGAAGTTCGCTGATCAAGCACAGGATCAAGCACAGGGAGTTCACTGACCAAGCACAGGAAGTATCCTAGGGTTTGGGGAATGAGCACCTGCTGTTTGCAGGACTGGTCTCTAGACCTTGCCTGACCTTCCAAACGTGAGTGCGGGAAAACATTCATGTACAGGAAATAGAGCTAAGTAAACTTTTGTTATGGAGGACAGTTAAGAGGGGCTTGGAAGAAAACAAATGTGCATAAGAAATAGTCCATAGTCTCAGAAGTTCACACTACTAGATACATTGAACTTATTCTCCCAGGAGTGAGGCTTCAGGCCTGAACTGATGATCAGCACTGTCTAAGAAACTATCTACTTGGTGCACAGCTGGAAGACAGGGGCATTTTATTTCATATCTTACAATCAGCCACCTCACCACTCTAGTAGAACATATTTTAAAAAAATAAATTGAAATCCCCAAAGCACTTCTGTTGGGCCTATGCAATGGCCATGTCACAGTCAAGCTGGGATTTCACTGAAGACAATGCCACCTGCAGCTGGCTGCCCCTGCTTTGAAGTGGTACTTGGAACAATACGACCCTCACAAATGGCAATCAGAACACCAGTCCTCAGCTCTGCCTATGCTACAAGTGTCAGGCATATCACTTTGTAAAACAGTAAAGTCCACTGACTAGGTAGAATCCCTTCCTAAGCACTACAGTTTTCTACTGACTTAAAAAATAATCCTGAGCCGGACGCTGTGACACATGCCTGTAATCCCAACACTCAAGGAGGCAGAGGCAGGTGGATCTCTGTGAGTTTGAGGCCAGCCTGGTCTACAAGGTGAGTCCAGGACAGCTAAGGCTACACAAAGAAACTCTGTCTCAAAAAATCAAAATAAAAAACAACAATATTAATAATAAACAATCCTACTTCTTTATTCTTTTCAATCTGCAGTCAGTATAAAGGAACCTTGTCTACTCAGGTCAAGATTAGAAGTGAAAAAGTAAGTACTCAAACATAAAGAGGATTGTTGGGGTGGTTTTGTGCACTGTGCATTCAAATGCTGGTTTCTGGATCCAGAGATCTGGTTGCAGTCCAACAATGTCTCTCCTGTCTCAATGCTGTGTCAAAATTGTTCTTCATCACCTGTGACTGATTAGCAAAGAGCTGAAGAGCCAATGGGGGGGGGGCAGGAGAGTTAAGGCAGGACTTCTAATTCCAGTGAGGGGGTCCTAGGTGAAGAGAGAGAAGGTCACCATGAGGGAGTCACAATGAGGACTCAGATGGAGCAGCGGCCAGGGAAAGACTGAGATCGCAGGTGACAGGCACGTGGCTGGGAAGAAGGCCAGGCCAGGTTAGAACGGGTCAGATTCGAACAGAGGAGCATCTGGCCAGCTTGAAGCTTATTAATAAACATAAAAGGTCTCCCTGACGTTGTTTGGGAGCTGCAGCAGGCATAGCAAAGCCCCGCTTTTACAGAGGGTAAGTGGGAATGGAATACTGACGTTTTCTGCTCATGAGCGCCCTCAGCGATTCTTCTAGTACCTTAGAGCAACCACGGACTTTGTGCATAGCTCAGAGTAAAGGGACCTGCGGACCCGCTTCCCTCAACCTCTGTGTTCCTACCCGTGCACCTTCCTGCGCTTAGCACAGCAAACAGCTGTGCTTGGGGCCGCCACTGAGCTCAGAGGACTGCCTCCTGAGTACAGACAACCTAAGCGGCCACTTCTCACTGCTGAACAGCAAACTGTGATTCTAAAATTCCTTTAAATGTTGCAGCCTCCTCTCCATTTAATATACCTCTGCAGAAACTAAGTCATGATTAAACCGCTCAAAGGGACTGTGTTTGCAACAGCCTTCAACACGACAGCAGGCTGGTGCTTCAAGGCGTTGCCTATTCTCAGCGAAGAAAACAAGAGTTGCGATACAGTCGCTGTGCAGCTTATTCAAGGCTGTGGGCATGCCAGCCTTCCTCTGCAACCTGCATCACACACACAGCTGCAAACAGGTGGACAAACAGCAAGGAGCAAGGTGGGCTACGTGAAGGGCATCCAGGGAAGGACAACTCACTGCACTGTGACGGCCATGGAGGCAGGAGCTGCAGTGAAAGGCTTTTGCTCTGTTCCAGTTTTCTACGGAAACTAATGGTCTAAAGTAGCAAAGTACATTCAACTCTCTGCTGAGACCATCACGTGCTGGCAAGCAGCGGAAGAAGAGGAGGGGTAGGCAGAGGGCCTAGCCTGGGGGCTGCGGCTCAGTCGCCATGTCATAGTCTTCCATACTTTGAGCTTAGGACTCATTGCCCTGCCGCTTGGTCGCCATGGACCGCCTCCAGACGGCAGCCTGGGGCTGCAGGACAGCATGCAAGGAAAGACATCCCGGATGAGGGGAGCTCACACACAGCCCTTGAGGCAGTGAGAGTTGATTGTAATTAACTACACATCCAGAACAGAGACGAACCATGCTTGCTCTCTGCACCAGCAGCACACGGGGGAGCACCGCCAAGGACTCCGGGCAGTCCTGCATGCCATGCGGCTCCAGTCTTACCCAAGGCAGGCGTCACCAGAACACTTATCAACCCAATTAACCATGGCGCTCCTGGCCTGTGGAAGTGAATTTGCACTGTAAAATTCCTGGAAAAAGAGATTCTCTAGAAGAAGATATTTCGAACACACAAAATACCCCCAGACACACTCAGGAATGTTGATCCTGAAAACTCGGACAGGGGGCTTCTCCCTCACTGCCGCCAGAATTCACATCAGCCTTCTCCCATGGCAAGCACTGATCCTGGCGTCTGCAAGGAGTCGAACCCTTAGCCAGCTGTGGTGCTGCACAGCTGGCTCCCAGCAGTTGGAGGCTAGCGCTGAGGCAGGGGACAGTACAAGCTAGAGGCCAGCCTAAGCTACAGAGCAAGTGCCAAGTCACGCAAGAGTATCTCGAGACCCCGTCTCGGTGAATAAATATGATGAAACTGCTGTTCCTATGGAATTACTTCACCTTTTTTCCTCTTCTGCAAAACAGCAGAAAAAGACCTAACCCATGCTTCTCAACCTGTAGGCCACAGCCCCTTTGATGGAAACCACAGATGTTTGAGCTTTTAACAGTAGCAAAATCACAGCTATGAGGGAACATGAGAGTAACTGTACAGTGGGGTCCCCACAACCCGGGGAACTGTGTTAAAGAGTCGAAGCCTTAGGGAGGTTGGAGCACTCACAACACCACAGACTTTACACAACCCACTCTGTAGCCATACAGCGAGAGGCTGCCACAGCGGCCAGGGCTGCTCGTCCTGGGGCAACACTGTTAAGACACTGAATGGAGCGCTGTCACGACTCAACATTCCCTGTTCACTCACAAGGCCAGGCGCCTAGAGGCCCTCCAGCTCAGTCCTGACTAAGGAGGATAGCAACGTGCCTCTTTGAACAGGCTTCACACTCAGGTTGGAGATGACTCCAGCCTGTGACTCTTTTGGTGCATATTGTAAGCAAATTCATTCAGTCTAGTAAAAAAAAATCCTAACACAAAATCTGTCAGCAAGTACAATGACCCATACGTGCAGAAATGCCATAGTGTAACCGGTTCTTTTACGTTAACTTAGTTTGGAATTGGCTGACGACTGTATTTCCCTTCTCTGTGCGGCTTCCCGGGCCCTCTGAGAACGTGACGCGGTGTTTGCCCCCTCTGGATCTGGAATGCACATACACTGTCGCCCTCGCTCCTCAGCTTCCAGAAGGGGTGAATATAGAACCAGGACCCCTCGTTCCCCGCCGCGTCCAGGGACACACGCATGGCGTTCTTCTCCAGCAGGGCAGGCAGCCTCTTGTTGACCGTCAGGTACTTGTTGCTTTTTATATGCAGCAGCTGCAGGGAAAGACGCGCATCAGTGCCTGTATCCTCGGCCTCCGAGGGGGCTTAAGTCCGTAAGTCCGCACACCACGGCGTGTGGTGGAGGCCAGACGCAGGACCTGTCTTAAGGCTCGGCAACCACCAGCTTTCCGAGCGCCCCCCCCTCGCCTCCAAGTGTGAGAAAGACGCGACACCTTCACCTGCCGAGAAACAGCAGGCTGTGACCAGCCCTTCCTGCCCCGCCTGAAGGGCCCAAAAACCCCACCCGCCACCCACCCTGAACAGCACAAGAGCAGCATCTGCTAGAGAATGCCCATGGCTAACCCACGCATCTGAGCACTGTGCCTAGGACAGTGCTAACCTTCGCTCTGCAGCACCAACAGAGCCGGGGACGCTGGCCTTTCGGGGAGGACCGCTGGCCTTCCACGTCTCAGAGGAGGCAGAAGAACCAGCCCTTGCCTCCCCCTTCTCCACGGTGCCTCGGACAGAACCTTCCCCAGCCGTGAGCTTACTGAGCAGAAATACAAAGATAAAGCAAACCCCCATCTATTTTCAAAATCATTTTTTTAAGAAAAGGTCATTTTGGTGCCCACAAGATGAGGCAAAAGTCATTTTAGAGCAAAAGGCAAATCTTTAATTGAAAAATAAATCGCTTTTTTGCACAACTCAGGGCCCTACCATTGATTCTTCTTGAAGCAGTAAGGGCTTGGAGATCCTGAGAGACAGCTCCACAGAGATGCCCTCACAGCCAGGAGGTCCTGCGCTCGGTCCCCAAGTTAAAAAGTCAAAATAGAAAGCAGGGCAAGGGGACTCACACTTGTAACTCCAGCATGGGGAGGTCGAGTCCTGGGCTCCCTGGCAGCCAGCCTACCTGAATCCACACGCTCCAGGCCTGTGGGAGACCTCATCCCCAAAAACAAGGTGGAGCAGCTTTAAGCACCACCACCTGAGACGGGCTTGACTCCAGGCTTGCACACACGTGCACACTGACATACACTCACACTCACACTGACATGCTCACTCACCCTAGCATACACACCCTCAAGCCTGAGTAGGTACTTTCATGGTCCACGTAAAAGCACAAGGTCAGCCCTCAGCTGAGAAGACAGCCGTGTGTGCTTGAGAAGTGAGTGGCCCAAACTCCAGGAGGAGACACTCTCTGGAAGACTACTTGGAAGTGTGCACACCACCATGCCAGGAGACACTCGCTAGATGAGGTCTCACTCACTGAAGAGGCTGAGGGTCCTGCCCTGGGGACAGCTTTGCCCCGCCCCCTGGCACATTGCCACGGTAGGTGACACAGTCCCTCTCGGCGATCACCGTGAGGGACCCGAGGCCACTGCTGACCATCCACCCAGCATCCTCTCATGACCGCTCGAGAGAACACTTCCCTGGGCTCGATTCTGCGAATGGCTGTGTCTCTAGACCCCAAGAGGACGCTGCTGTGTAGACCGCTTTTCCACACAGTGGCGTGTGGGCTTGCAGGCCTGGGGCAAGACGTTTTCAGAACCTACCTGGTACGTGCCTGTTCACTGAAAACGCCAAGCTAGTTATCAGCCCCACCAGAGAACACACGCACCACACACCACACAGCACACACACACTCTCTCTCTCTCTCTCTCTCTCTCTCTCTCTCTCTCTCTCACACACACACACACACACACACACACACTCATGGCACCCCGGATATTGGTGCGCTTCCGTGTTGGTAACTGACGAGTCACCCACAATACATCGCTCTTGGTGGCAGAAGGGAGACTTACTTGTATCACGTTGCTGTACTTGACGGTTTCTCCCAGAAGCTTCCTGTTCTCTGACTCGTTCTGTCTCTGTTCCAGCTCGGCGGCGTGCTACACGCGGGCAGCGGGCATGGAAGCAAGCAGGACAGGCGGCTTAGAACAAGGACAAACCAGATGGCGCCACTGGGGGTTGGACGGTTGGGGGCAGGAGCTGAAGGACGAACAGTAATGCCAAGTGCCCGGGTGGGCCCCGAGGCAGGGCATCCGGGGCTGTCCTGAAGCTGGCCTTGTAGACCAGGTTGGCCTCGAACTCAAGAGATCTGCCTGCCTCTGCTGCCTGCTGGGATTACAGGCTTGCACCACCAGGCCCAGAAAGGAAGCTTCCTGTCTCTGAGGGCACCTGGACCCCCACGCTGCAAACTTCACAGTCCATGGTAAAGGCAGCCACGCTGTCTCAGCCACGTCTCTCCCCAGAACTTTCAGTTAAGCAGAGGGCTCTGTGGAATTAGGAATTCTTCTACTATGTAACGTGACACTATTAGAAAAGTGGGTGAATTACAGTCTCAAAGCGTAGCTGTGAATTCACAGAGTGCCTGGCATTTACGTGATACAAAACCTAGTACTGTCAAGTTCATACTCAGCCAAACCAGACCCAAAAAAAAAAAAAAAAAAATCATCCTTTTTCTCCATAGTCTGTTAGGAAAAAAAAGGACTCTATGGAAGAAAATACAATTAGACTTAATATCAGAGATTTTTAATTAGCTCTCATTTGGTGAGAAGCTTAGGATTAGTCCCGCACACCTTAAGAAACAACGTGGGGCTGTGTTGTCCAGATGCCAGGAAGGAAGTGGGTGCCCTACCCGAGAGCCCCCTGCCTCGGCACCCTGCCTTCTCGGGTCTGAAGCCTCTGCACCGGGCGCCCCGGCAGCCCCGGAAGGGAGGCGGCCCCTTACCTGGAGCTTCTTCAGCAGGGCGGCCTCCGTGTGGCTCCCCTGCTTCGCCTGCTTGGCCTTCCAATACTGCTTCTGGGCAGAGTAGCGGTTCATAGGGCACACCTTGAACAGGCAGTCTGGGAAGACAAGAAACAGCGGTGAACTAAAGCCCCCAGCTTCTACAGACCCTTCGTCAGCCTGGCTCAGAGCGCCGGCATCACTCAGCACTTAGGAGGTCTCAAAGAGGTCATGTCAGCCGTCCTCTGAGCAATTCCAAATTCGCTCCATAGCATCCTCTGCAGGCACCTATTTAGGTTTCGTTAAAATAGTCCCTTCTTTGTTCGGGTGTTAGGGCCCATCCTGGCTAGTGCAGCTCGGGAGGAAAGCAATGCGCTGGCAACAGAAGGCAGTTCATATTTTAGTTGGCTTTGGGTTTTTGACACAGGGCTCAGGTGGCCCCGGCTGCCAGCCATCTGGCTTTGATTTCCTGATGCCTCCACCCTGCCTTGCCAGTGCTGGGACGGCAGGCGTGCCACCACACCAGGCCCGAAGAGCTGTTTCTTAATTGCTATAAGTGATTTGATTTTGCAAAGTGGACAGAGTGAGCTGGGTGTGGCCCCCCCCACGCCTCCTGTTCCAATACTCAGGAGGCTGAGGCAGTAAGATTGTGAGTTCAAGGCCAGATTGGGCTACAATGTCTCAAACCAAAACATAAACAAAATGATGCCGGATCTGCTCTCAAGTTGTGATTACTAAGCCGTGTTCTGTTTACTTGTTGAAAATAATAATAATAACCATTGGACCATTCCAGCCATGTAGTCCCCTGGGCTCCAAATACCTGGGGTGGACACGGGGCGGAAATCTGAGAGACAGTAAAACAGGAAGGAAAAACAAACAAACAAGACAAGACAAGACAAAGGCCGAAACTGCAGCCTTGAAGCCAAATCCCTAAATATGTAGGCTGGAGATAGAACCGTAGGTGACCACGCGCAGGCCTCCCAAACACAGACGAGGAAAGCAGCACTTTTCTCCCCAGGGAAGGGGGGGACAGGGCTCACGGTGTCTCCAGCCCGGACTGAGAGGTGACTTCAGTGTGAAACAGAGAGCACTCTCACTTTCCTAACTGCAGCTGTCATCAGCCACCATGAGGGAGAAGACAGGACACCACAAGCTGCTCCCTCCCTCCTCCCTCCCTCCTCCCTCCCTCCTCAGGGCCTACAGGGCTAAAGGAATTCCCCCACCTCAACCCAGCCAGGATGGTCCCCACAGATGTGTGCAGAGACCCTTCTAGTTAAGCCTGGCATCAGAGACAAAGGATGACATGAAACCAGAACCCAAACAGGGTCTCCGTTTTTCACACACACACACACACACACACACACACACACACACACACACACGACCGTAGAGGTGGCTCGGTGATTAATTTCTGTTCCCAGAGCCAACATGATGGGCCCTGACCACCTGTAACCCCAGTTTTAGAGATCCACACTCTCTTCTGACTTTCTCGGGCACCAGGCGGGCATATACACACACACGCAGGTCAAACACTTACATAAAATTAAAAAAAATTCTACCAGACATGGCGGTGCACACCTTTAATCCCAGCACTCAGGAGGCAGATGCAGGCGGATCTCTGTGAGTTCAAAGCCAGCCTGGTTCATAGAGCAAGTTCCAGGACAGCCAGGGCTGCACAGGGAAACCTTGTCTCAAAAAAAAAAAAAAAAAACAAAAAGAACAATAACTAACTAAACAAATAACTAATAAACACATAAAATTTTTAAATTTTTTTTTAAATATACTTTGTTTTAATTGAATATGCTACCATTTGGAATTAGTCCCACTTTTCAAGTGTGAATCACAAAAACAAAGTTCAGTAGATTCAAATATCCTTTCAGTCACATCCTCAGCTGTTCTAGGGTATAAAATGGCTGTGGAAGGTTCGCTTGCTCACGAACGGCTCCCACAGGCTCATCTGTGAATGTCTGGTCCTTAGAGAGCAGCACTACTGCAGGGCTTAGGAGACGGCCCTGCCGAAGCAGGTGTGGCTCTGCTGTAGGAAGTGTGTCACCAGAGGTGGGCTGTGCGGCTTCAGATGCTCAAGCCAGGCTCAGTCTCTCTCTCTCTCTCTCTCTCTCTCCCCCCTCCCTCTCTCTCTCTGTTTCTCTCCCTCTCTCTCCCCCTCTCCCTCCATCCCTCTCTGTCTCTCTCTCCCTCTCTCTGTGTCTCTCTCCCCCTCTCTCTACCCCCCCTCCCTGCCTGCTGTCTATGGATCTGGATGTAGAATTCTCAGCCACCACAACTGCCTGATGCTGCCATGTGCCCCGCCATGAGGACAATGGACTAAACCTCCAAAACTGTGAGCCAACGCCAGCTAAAGGCTTTCCTTTGTAAGGGCTGCCGTGGCCATGGTCTCCTCACAGAACACTGCCTATGACAAGTATGACTAAAATTTTTAAGAAATTAAAAAAAAAAAAGTGACATAATGATCTTAAAATTATATACATAAACTATTTACCTATAATCTGCTTGTTTGTATGTTTATTGATTATGTATGTATAAGGACACTGTGAAGGACACTCCCACAGGATAACTTGTGGGAGTCTATTTTCTCCTTCCACTTTGTAAGTTCCAGGAATCCAATTCATGTCATTGCGCTGAACAGAGTCTCCTTACACTCCCAGTCTTCTTGCTGGCCCCACAAACTCTATCAAATGCCCATTTCATACGCAGAAATTAGCTCACAATTTCTAACTTTAAAAATACTAGCATGAGGCTGAACTGGTGGTGTAATGGTTAGGGGCTCCTCCTGCTCCACCAGAGGACCAGAGTCCGCTCCCCAGCACTCACAGCCAGCCACCTGGAGCTCCAGCCCCAAGAGATCTGATGCCTCCTCCGACTTCCACAGGCACACACACCAATAGATAAAAATTATTTTTTGAATACTAAGATGGCCTCCTGGCAATGAGCAGAGAGACACCTTAGTGGTGCTCTTGCGTCAGCCGGGGAAAAGAAGATGGCAGTCCTTCGTTCATCTTAGCTTGATGCCTGGCTCAGTGCAAAGCCATCTCATGCCTAGGACACAGAAAATCAAATCTGGGTAGCACTGCTTAGGGAGGAAGACAGATGAAGCCTACAGAGCGCCATGACAGCCACAGACCTGACCCCTGGTGCATGGCACAGGCGGGCCGTAGACACCCAGGTGCCGGTGGCAGCAGGGTCCACCAGCATGTGGCCTGCCTGCAGCGCGAGCGTGTGCAGGACAGATGGGGAAGAAAGAGAATTGGAGCTGCTTGGGCACTGTGGAGAGAGGGAAGCCAAGACTGGAGGGTGGGGAGAGAGGCCTGTCGCCACGGTGAGGTCCCAGCCCGAGCTGCCGCTGAGGGCCGTGTCTGGGTCTGTGGCTCATATCACCACTAGAGAAGACGGGGACATTCGAGGCCAGCCAGCCGCTGGGGGCCGTGTGCCTGTCCAGGGGCTGTGCAGAACTGGCCCCGCCCCTCGATGGCTGTGGTGCTCTGAAGAGCTGACCCCACCTCTCACTGGTGGCAGCACTTGGGAGAGCAGGTTCTGAGACTCACCCAGATAGCTCAGTGAGCTGACCCCGGTGGCAGGGATGTGGGTGAGCTGGCCCAAGGGTGTGAGTGAGGAAGAGCCATCCCAGCCCCTGGCAGGGCCCTGCACAGGGCAGCACAGGGCTGGCCCTGGAGGCACGGGTGTGAGGGTAGAAAGCTGACCCTGCCTCATGCCGATGGCGGCCCTGGCTGGCCTGGCTGGCGCAGAGCTGGAGAGCTGGCCCTAATGGTGCAGATAATGGAGAGCTGGTGGACTGAGCGGCTCCCACCCAGGCCCAGATCCAGGGCTCTGAGTTGACCCAGCCCACACCTATATTATCTACAAAAGGCTGGGATGAGCGAGGGGGAAAAATCCTGAGAGCCGGCTGCAGGGTCTCCATGACACATGGCCACACCAGGATAACCGGGAAGGGTCCCTCTGAGGATCCGTGTTGATTGTGTCACAGAAGGCAGGGGCCTCAACCAGAACATCAAGCTCTGCGATGGACATCTGCAAGTGAAGATGTGTGGACAGAAGGATGTACTGTAGGACACACTGACACACTACAGCTTCCAAGAGGGGATTTTTCTACCCTCTGGTTTTGTTTTTGGTGTGTGTGTGTGTGTGTGTGTGTGTGTGTGTGTGTGTGTGTGTGTGTTATTTTGAGAAGGAGAAGTTGCAAGGGCAAAGGGCAGATATGAGGAGATAAGTGGGACTGAGTTGCATCATGTGAAACCCACAAAGAATCAATAAAAAAGTTAAAAAATAAAAATACCAACATGGATAAGTGTTGGTTTGGTTTGGTGGTAAAGAGGCTTGAACCTAGGACCTTGAACATGCTAGGCAGGCAGTAAGCTATAGCTCCATTCCAGCTCCATAAGATACAAGAATGAACAGCTTACACGGAAAACAGACACCTTCAACCGGCTCGGCCAAGCTGGAGGACGGTGGCAGCTGCTGACTCAGAGATGCCTGGCAGTCTCTTCTGAAGACGGGAGGCTGCCGTTGAGACGTGTTGTCTTTGGCAGTGAGTCCTTCAGAGCTCAGAAATTATTTCCTACATATTAGCAACTACAAAGGGGACTATACAAAGTTTTTGAAGCACAAATACTAAGGTTGTTCACAAGCCCAAAAGAGCCTCTCTGAGTTCATGCTGTTGGTTCCTTCGACAAATATGAGGCAGTGACAAAGCTGCACTGTGTAGGCGCAGCAGAAGCATGAGCTGGCACTCCCCAGAACCGCACGCTGGGACCACGGCCGTCCTCAGCCTGAGAAGGGACGGGAGGAAAAGGTCTCTTCGAGCTGCTACACACCCTACCGTAGCTTATCAGAAGGGGCTCTTGAGAGAGAAAATACATTTGCTTTGTAAACTTCAAAACACCTCAACACCACTCCTCTGAAACGGCATCCTTGGGAAGCTAGGAAAGTGTCTGTGCAGACAGCCTTGGGCCCGAGTGGAGCTGGATCGGTTAGGAAACACCAACCACCCAAGCTCGCTCACCGTCATCCCACACAGCAGTGTGCCTGGGTGTCAGGACTCGGCCCACCTCAGGGTGCAAGTGCACAGCAGCGGAACGGCCGC